TATGACTGGCACCTTGCTACTCAAAGCATAGTCTTTGTACCAGTAGCAGCCGCCCTAGGAGCCTGTTAGAAATGCCGATTCTCAGGCATCACCCCATTCGTCCAGGATCAGCACTTGGAGCTTGTTAAGGTGATTGGCGGGTACAAAAACCAGAAGTGCTGCACTGAATCACCCCAGTGGGGCTTGGGAGACATCATCCCGCAGTGCGCTGATGGGGTAGCCCGGTTTTCAATCCCGTGACGTTGAAGAGGCATGCCTCCTTCTCAACGTCAACTCATTCCCCCGCCCTCCGTGCTAGAAATTAACATTTTTCCCTTCACAGTAGAAGCAGCAGTAATAGAAATTTTGTTCTTCTGTACCAGGGCCTTTGCTAACCACTTTGCAATCATAGTTTGAGTTTTTACACTGATCTTGGGAGATAGACGATAATCTCTCCAGTCCTGTCATGACCCCCATGTCCTGTGGACTGAATTGTGCTCCCCTACCCTCCATTCATGTGTGGAAGCCCAAACGTTCATTGTGGCTATATTAGGAGTAAGAAAGTAATGAAGGCCAAATGAAACTATAAGGGCAAAACCCTGAGTAGGATTAGTGTTCTTAGAGGAAGAGACCCCAGAGAGTTCTCTTTCTCTCTAACATAGCACTTAGCATAATATTCTGGTTTAGCTGGGTTACTTGGCGGAGATACTTAGTATTGATTTCTGTTTGTGCAGCAGGTAAGCCCAGTGCCTGCAGATGGGTACTTGCTTGCTGTTTATACCTTGGGCTCCTCAAGCCTGCAGAGTTACATCCATCCACCTGCTCAAAGAGTAGCAAAGGGCCATGAGGAAATCTACAGGATTCTAATGCCCTAAGATTAGACTTGTTGAGAGTTAGTGGGTTATAGAACTTTGAATAATATTCTAAGAGGTATTAAAGGTAAGAAAAAGCGGACCAAGGCCTTTGAGAGAAGCCATTCTCTGCTGGATAAGAGCATGCCCTGGTTGTCATGGTTACGTTAATCCTAAACCAGGAAGGGGGGAGGGGGGAAGAAAACAACACTTCCAGAAAGGGCTTTTTGAAACCTCAGCAGATGCAAATTTTTTAAACTTGAGCAAATATGTCTATGAGATTGCTTTTGAAAGGTTAGAACCTTAGCTTGTATCAAGTAGGGGAAATCGTTTGTTCAGACGCTTGGAGGAAGTAGGGAGAGGGAGGAGACTAGACCCTCACGCAGAAAGAATTGTCTTTATTCTTTCGGAGGAGGAAAAAAAAATACTCCCACATAAAACTTTATGCAGTAGAAAAAACCTGAAGGCATAGATAGATTTTTAAAGGTACAATAAACTAAAGCAACTTTGATTCACAATTTTTTTAAAAAGATTTTATTTATTTATTTGAGAGAGAGCAGGAGAGCACAATCAGGGGGAACAGCAAGCAGAGGGAGAAGCAGGCTTCCCGCTGAGCAGGGAGCCCAATGCGGGGCTGGATCCCAGGACCCCGGGATCATGACCTGAGCCAAAGGCAGGTGCTTAACCGACTGAGCCACCCAGGTGCCCCTGATTCACAATTTTTAAGAGCTTAAATCCAAATTTGAATGTTCATACTATTTGTTATTCGGTGTTTAGTGGCCAGACATTCCCCAAGAATGCAAACCTCCTCCTAAAAGGTAATTTTATAGGATTCCATGAACAGCCAGTTCAAAATGGAGAAAATCAACAGGGACACCCAATTTGAAGTCAGCCAACTTATTTGTGCGTGAGGCTAAAATTCAAATGCCTTTTGGAGCATAATTAAAAGTAGCCAATAAGAAAAAAGTGATAAAAATGTGATTATGTAGTTTCACTAATTGCTGATTTGTTCTCCAGAATAAAACATATAATTACTATTTGGTGTCATTTCTGTAAGGCACACATTTCTAGAATTAATTTTCATGAAGACTGACTGAGTGTGGGGTTGGCCAGACTGACCGTTTCTTTTTTTTTTTTCCATTTTAAAAAAGATTTTATTTATTTGAGGTGGGGGGAGGGAGGGTGTGCGAGCAGGGGGAGGGGCGGAGGGAGATGGAGAGAGAGAATCTCGAGCAGGCTCCACACTCAGCATGGAGACCCACTCGGGGCTCGATCCCACGACCCCAAGATCATGACATGAGCTGAAATCAGGAGTCCGGTCTCTTAGCTCACTGAGCTACCCAGGTACCCCAGCCTTTCATGTATGAATAAATTTTACCTTAATAATTCTACTCTGGTCCAGGATTGGAGTGTAATGGAGCTCAGCACCTGTGTTTTCGGTTGACTGCCATGGAGTTTGTTTCTTAGAGGCTGTGGGAGTCTTAGAGGTCTGTTTCCTCAGCCTCAATATAACACTTGGTGATAATTAAAAAACTCATTTGTCATAAGATCCTTTTCATATTAAACTTAACTAACGTGTAGGTTTTCAAATGATGTGTAAATTACTTGGTTTCCCTTCCTCATGTACAGTAGCTTGTGCAGCGTTAAATAGAAATGTGTGTGTATCTTAAAGTAAGCCCCTCCTTTGAGAAGAGACCTCTACGGGTCAGAATTCCTCAGGGTCTCTGCTTTGTGCCTGCTAGCTTTATCCACGCTGTTGGATAGACCCCCTCCGCCCGTTCACACTCCATCGTCTTATTTCTAGATTTGTTTTAGCAAAAGGGCTGGTGGATTTATAGCTTTTTGAACCCCGTTCCTGGCTCCTAGTGCAAAGCCTGCCCCAAATGCAAAATTTGCGGTTACTCTAACAATGTTCATTTCCTGCCAAACACATAAAAGACCTCTTTGTACCGAGAAATCTTAGCAGATGTTGAGTGCGCCCATATGGGTGTTCGCTCACTCTCACTCTCCCCATGTGGTCAGGCCTTCCCAGCCAATCTTCCTTGAGCTAGTCCTACCCCTCAATATTTTTCTAAGCTCTAATGTTCTAAGAACAACTCACTTTCTGACTCGTAAAAAAGGTAGAAACAGATTCTATTGTGCATCACCCTCTCTGACTGTTTATAGATGTGAACCCCACCTCCACTTTTTCTTGTTTTTTTTTTCTTCTGCATTTTTCATTGTGATAAAATATATATAACATAAAATTGACCAGTTTAGCCACGAAGTGTGCAATTCAGTGGCATTAAGTACATTCACCAATACCACCATCTGTTTTACATTCTGTGATGTGATTTTGTTTTGGGTTTTTTTGTGTTTTTTTTTTTTAATTTAAATTCCAGTTAATATACTGTGATGGGAATTTGAACAAAATTACTTTGAGTGTGAAGTTCCAAAAAATCCATTGGGGATAAGTGTTGAGGAATGATATTGCAGACTGTCAGAGTAAATCCACCATGGGAAGTAAAGGAGGGATGCTTTCTCTTAGAGAATGGGAATGAAATCTTTTCCTTCTTTATTAGACATTCCTGTTTTTCTCATTAGTCCTGCCATTAGCTCACATGAGATGATTCTACCAGTGACCTTTGAACCAGGCACTTCATGAAAGAGCCTGGGGAGGTTGGGATTACCCATGGAGAATATTGTACGCCTTCAGAGAGCTGTGACTATCTTCCGGATTTCAGTGATGAGGAATATGGGGGTATAAAGTGGCATCTGTTTAAAAAAATGCTCAATGACTGGACACTGAAGCATCTTTGATGGCTCCTCAGGTCATGCTGGGCCAGGCTAACGGAAATGCCCATCATTAAACTGGTCAGGCTCTAGCTTACCGTCCATTAGTCCGCTGGGTTACTAATTGGTTCCTATAATGCTCTGCTCTTCTCAGAGGAAAGGTGAAAGTGTAAAAGCAGTAACTGGAAATGACCATGTTTTGACACACTTTTCTTCCAGTGTGTGATCTGTGTGGTGGACTTGGGTCCATTTTATTAGTGGGTCATTACAAATCCATCAGGCAGTGAAGAGAAACCAAGGTGTATGATTCTTAGTGGTGAAGGTAGAAATTGGGATTCTCTCTCTCCTGTTCCCTCTCCCTTGTAGATTCAGTATATAGAAAATGCATGTAGAGTATTGATTGCTGTGGGCATTTCATTGAGTACCAGCTGCTTTGCTGGATGATAAGAATATAAAGGTGAATAAGGAGCCCAGAGTTTAAGTGGAGAGACAGGCTCATGAATACTTAACTTCACAGAATACTGTGGAATGAGTATGTTTTATTCATTGGTTCATTCACCTCCAAATTGGTTGGTCTTTAAGGCACCGTAGAGACAGAGATTAATAAAATGCAGCCTTGGGGCGCCTGGGTGGCTCAGTCGGTTAAGCGGCTGCCTTCGGCTCAGGTCGTGATCCTGGAGTCCCGGGATCGAGCCCCGCATCGGGCTCCCCGCTCAGCGGGAAGTCCGCTTCTCCCTCTTCCTCTGTCTCTTCCCCTGCTTGTGAACTCTTTCTCTCTTTCTCTGTCAAATAAATAAATAAAAAAAAATAAATAAATAAAATGCAGCCTTTACCTTCAGTGTGGGTGAGGTGTGGAGGTGAGTTTGCACAAAGTGCTGGGAGAACCTAGGGAAGAAAGTCGTAAATTCTGCCTTACTTTCAGAGGGAGGGACAAGGAACAGGGTCTGTCCACTGCCGCAAAAAGGGCACGGAATCACGAGTTGAAAACTTAATGTCCCCACAAAACCTGCACACAAATATCTATAGGAGCTTTATTCTTAATCGCCGACACTTGGGTGGTAACCAAGATGTCTTTCAGCAGGTGAATGGATAAATAAACTGTGGTACATTTGTACAAGGGAATATTATTCAGCAATAAAAAGAAATGAACTATGAAGCCACGAAAAGACATCCAGGGACCTAAATGCATGCCGTTGAGCAAAAGAAGCCAATCTGAAAAGGCTACATCCCATGTGATTCCAACTATATGCCATTCTGGAAGAGGCAGTGGAGACAGCAAAAAGACCAGTGGTAGCCAGGAGTTGGGGGGCGGCATGGGGTGGGGGATGAGGGTTGGCTGGGGTGGCTGGATTCTTAGGATGGTGAAATTATGCTCTGTGACCCTGTGATGGTGAGTATGTGATATTACACGTTTGTCAAGACGTCTAGAGCTGTAGAATGCAGAGTGAACCCTGATGTAAAGTGTGGGCTTGGGGTGATGATAATGTGTCCGTGTTGGCTCAGAAGTGCTTACAAATGCATTGATGCAAGATTAATAATAAGGGATATTGGATACTGTGTATGTGGTAAAAAGAGATATGTGGGAATTCCCTGTGCTTTGTCTTCCATTTTCTGTAAATCTAAAACTGCTCTAAAAATATACATATTTTTAAAAAGGCGGTGGTGCCTGGAATTGGGGTGGGGAGGGGAAATGGCAGAGAATTAGCATCTAAGTGGGAATACAACCTGGAAAAGGCTCCAAGGTGTGCAGTTGCGGATACCGGTGGTCAGAGTTCATGGAGGTCGGCAAGCTGAGAAGGGCCGGAGGATTCAGGAATGAAGAGGCTTCCAGTGGTGGGAGCTGAGGTTTGTTTTCATCTCTTCCCATGTCAGAGGGGGTAACTCCTGTTGTTTCTCTTCACAGCAAAGAGCCCCGGGGAAAGTGCTGCTGGACGCAGTCTGCAACCACCTCAACCTCGTGGAAGGGGACTATTTTGGCCTTGAGTTTCCCGACCACAAAAAGATCACGGTAAGTGATGGGAAGTTAATGAAGTAACTTAAGTGATGGGAAAGATATTTTACCATCCACTAGGCTTTGGGAAAGGTGAGTAATCGGGTCTGGTTCCTTGGCCATACAGACCCATCACAGAAGAAGAACATCCAGGGTGCCTGGGTGGCTCAGATGGTTAAGCGTCTGCCTTCGGCTCAGGTCATGATCCCAGGGTCCTGGGATCGAGTCCCGCATTGGGCTCCCTGCTCAGCGGAGAGTCTGCCTCTCTCTCTCTCTCTCTCTCTCTCTCTGTCTCTTATGAATAAATAAATAAAATCTTAAAAAAAAAAAAAGAGGAAGAACATCCAGAAAGCCCTTGTTAATCTTTTTTGGAAGTACTACATACATAGGATTAGCAAGTGCCAAGAGAATACTCCATGAAGACTAGCTCCCTCTGACCCTTTCCCCCACCTCTCCCTCCAGAAACTACCATTACTAGTTGCCTCTGTATCCTGATAAAAGTCCGTGTCTTTGTATATACAAACACATATTTCTGAAACACGCTGATGTGGGGAAACAGTATACAACGTCCTGTACCTTCCCTACCACTTCCGTTAATGTATCGTGAAGATCTTTCCTTTTCCGTGCATAGAATCCACTTCCTTCTATTTCAGTTCCGTGCCATTCCGCCAAATGGACACGCCAGGATTTACAACGCCTTTTGTAAATAATGGGATACTTAGGTTGTTCCCAGTCTTTTGCTTTTAGAACAAATGAAGCTACGGCAAGCACACTGGTACATTTGAGCTTGCACTCAAGTGTTTCAGTACTTGAGATCCAGTGGCATGGAGTTGCCTAATCCATGGGTTTCGATCATGGTAAAGTTTGAAAAATATGTCGTGTTGTTCTTTACAAAGGTTTCACCCATTTGATCCCAGAAGTTAGAACATAGGTTTTTGTTCCTTTTGTCTTTTGTCTAAGGGCACTTTCTTAAGGTTGTATCTGAGTCTTTTATTAGATACTGTTTGAGACTATAAGTTCATTGACTGCATTTCTATTTATTCTTCCATTCAGTACAGAGTACCTAGAACTTTTGCTAGCCACTATGCTGGGGATAACTGTAAGATGCAGGGAACGTATGATCAGGTGGGGTGTCAAGCTGTCAATGACTAGCACAGGGCATGTGACAGGTGCCCCACTGGGGCAAAGGGGGCATTGGATGGTAGGGGCACCAAACAACATTGTGTTTGTTGGGAATCAGGGAATCCTTCCCAGGTATTACAAAGCTGAGTCCCATGAGGCCAGTAGGAGTTGACCTGATAGAATGTTCTTTGAGAGGGGGTCCTAGTTTTAAAGAGCAGAAAGCAGCCTTCAGGAACCTGCAAGTAAGGCTGCAGTTGAGAGGTAAGGGGGAGGGACTCAAGTGAAGGAGGTGAGAAAGAGGAGGCTATAAGGTAGGCAGGGAGCCACATTCTGAAGGACTTTTTTTTTTAAGATTTTATTTATTTGAGAGGGAATGAGCAGTGGGGTGGGACAGAGGGGGAGAGAGAGAAGCAGACTCCCTGCTGAGCAGGGAGCCTGATGTGGGGCTCGATCCTAGGACCCAGGGATCATGCCCTGAGCCAAAAGCAGACGTTTAACTTACTGAGCCACCCAGGCGCTCCAAAGTGAAATTAACTTAAAAGTATATTTAACTTAATATGTCCAAAAACATTATCATTTCAGCATGTAATCAGTATCAAAAACTATGAATAAGCTATTTCACATTTTTTCGTGCTGAATCTTCGAATCTGGTATGTATTTGAGTCTCACAGCCCCTCTCAATTCACACCATCCGTGTTCCCGGTGCTCAGTAGACATGCGTAGCCAGTGGCTATCATATTGGACAGCACAGCTCCCAACTAATGTGTTTGGGAAGCGGTCAGTGTGTTTTAAAGGGAACATGGTATAATCCGATTTATGGGTTAGAAAAAGGACTGGACTGGAATAGGACAAGACTAGAGTCAGGAAAGCCATTAGGAGCTTGCTGTGTTTCAGGCTGGCGATGGTGCTGGAAGGAACTGAGGGAGAACCATGGTGGAGAACTGGAGGGAGGTGGGTGAATTCAAGAGGTTTTGGGGGAGGAGGTGGTTAGGGATATGACTGAATGGATGGGCTTGTGAGGGAAAACAGGCTCAGAGCCGCTGGGTTTTCCAGCTTTGTGGTCTGGGGGATAGTGGTGCCAATCTGTGGGGATGAAAGTCTCGGAGAGGCCATGTCTGTGAAGAGGTAAAGACGAGTTCCATCCCAGACATGAGGACATGGGCGTCAGTGGACATCCCAGTGGAGACGTCCAGTGGGCAATACCAGCACAAAACCTGCCCACAAATATCTGAAGGAGCTTTATTCTTAATCGCCGACACTTGGGTGGTAACCAAGATGTCTTTCAGCAGGTGAATGGATAAATAAACTGTGGTACATTTGTACAAGGGAATATTATTCAGCAATAAAAAGAAATGAACTATGAAGCCACGAAAAGACATCCAGGGACCTAAATGCATGCCGTTGAGCAAAAGAAGCCAATCTGAAAAGGCTACATCCCATGTGATTCCAACTATATGCCATTCTGGAAGAGGCAGTGGAGACAGCAAAAAGACCAGTGGTAGCCAGGAGTTGGGGGGCGGCATGGGGTGGGGGATGAGGGTTGGCTGGGGTGGCTGGATTCTTAGGATGGTGAAATTATGCTCTGTGACCCTGTGATGGTGAGTATGTGATATTACACGTTTGTCAAGACGTCTAGAGCTGTAGAATGCAGAGTGAACCCTGATGTAAAGTGTGGGCTTGGGGTGATGATAATGTGTCCGTGTTGGCTCAGAAGTGCTTACAAATGCATTGATGCAAGATTAATAATAAGGGATATTGGATACTGTGTATGTGGTAAAAAGAGATATGTGGGAATTCCCTGTGCTTTGTCTTCCATTTTCTGTAAATCTAAAACTGCTCTAAAAATATACATATTTTTAAAAAGGCGGTGGTGCCTGGAATTGGGGTGGGGAGGGGAAATGGCAGAGAATTAGCATCTAAGTGGGAATACAACCTGGAAAAGGCTCCAAGGTGTGCAGTTGCGGATACCGGTGGTCAGAGTTCATGGAGGTCGGCAAGCTGAGAAGGGCCGGAGGATTCAGGAATGAAGAGGCTTCCAGTGGTGGGAGCTGAGGTTTGTTTTCATCTCTTCCCATGTCAGAGGGGGTAACTCCTGTTGTTTCTCTTCACAGCAAAGAGCCCCGGGGAAAGTGCTGCTGGACGCAGTCTGCAACCACCTCAACCTCGTGGAAGGGGACTATTTTGGCCTTGAGTTTCCCGACCACAAAAAGATCACGGTAAGTGATGGGAAGTTAATGAAGTAACTTAAGTGATGGGAAAGATATTTTACCATCCACTAGGCTTTGGGAAAGGTGAGTAATCGGGTCTGGTTCCTTGGCCATACAGACCCATCACAGAAGAAGAACATCCAGGGTGCCTGGGTGGCTCAGATGGTTAAGCGTCTGCCTTCGGCTCAGGTC